TGGTGTTGCTGACGCCTGCTTCACTGACATAAAAGCTAAAAAAGCATACTCAGCATCGCAAAAAGTGGGGGGGGTCGACACCCCCAGTTTTCAAGAGTGGGGGGTCACGACCCCCCCGACCCCCCCGTCGGCGACGCCCCTGCGTTTTAAGATTCGCCTTGCAATTCGTCGAATCGGACATATGTCGTTTCCGCGATGTTGTCAGCCCTCGTGGCTGAGCGGCGTCCATTTAAGTGCATCTGGAATTGCAATGCATGCAGAATATCTGATGACTCCCAGAACTGCATATATGCCGCGTGCTTTCAGCTCGGGATATTCGGCTGGAGATCAGGCCCCCGAGTCTCACTGGCAGCTCAGTGTTCCTGGGAAACGGCAGAGGTAGGCACTTATATCGTAGCCCAGATGGGTGGTACTGGAACGTTGAAATGCGGAAGATATTGTTGCCCTCGCAAAGGGGTAATAAATCATATTAAAAAGCTCCAGTTCGAGCAAGTGAAGCTTGGTAGGTACTCTTCCAGTCTTCATGAATGTTTTTCCCGCTTTTCATATTCAGCAACATTTTTATGAGTGGATTGTCGTCATTCATCCATGGCTTGTCATTCGACACGAGTTATTTATATCTACTTATTCATTTAAACATCAAACCCAAGAAGACGTTTTCGAGACTGAGCTGGATCTCACGAGGTCCAGGCGCCAGAGGTTTAGTTTTTCTACCCATGCTCTCTCAAAAGTGCTATGCAGTACCCAGTACCTACTACCTACCCGCTAGAGCATTCCACCGTGAGTCATTCCAGTACCAATCTCGTCAGCTGTGTCAGGTCAACTCCAAAGAGCGTCTACTGACGTCACTAAGTATTATAAATACAACACTCAATGGCAGCCTGCCGCCTGATGCAACACGTTCTGGCAGACTGGCTGTTCCTGTGCCCAGTTGGTCCCGTGTAGTACGAGCTACCGTGTCCCCAATTACTGTCTCTGACTGTGGGCGAGCCAAAAATCAGTCCAGTGTCATCACCTATGGCAGACGCTCACCGACGACCGGCCAACTCCCGGGGTTTCGTCACCCGGGTGTCCAGTCCAGGAACGGGAGACACCTGAATGGCCGCAGAGACGCCGCCCGCCGCCCGAGTGCCAGTTGGCATTGGTCGTCCGCCAAACGGAAGGTGGGTGGTCGATCAGGGACATCGCGACTGACGTAACCGAGGCAGGACGAGAAATAAACGCGTCTGCAGTGACTTCGTAACATAACTTCATAAATGAATACCTAGATAAATAAGCCTTTTAAATTGCTGAAAAAGTAATTGGGCCCTATCACACCAAACGTCGAACAATTTTGTAGCAGTGGCCTACCAACGCCGTTTAACTGATCGTGAAATGTCGAGAAAGCTCTAACCGTTATTCGATTTCAAGCAGCATGGAAGGGTAAGGGACTGTTAAGGGTGGTATATTATTGCAAGCAATATTTACAATAGGTACCGCAACCCGCAACAATGCATATGGCGGTGCAGCATCCTCGCAGGCGAACAGTGTATGGCGGTACAGCATCATTACAGGCGAACAGTGTATGGCGGTACAGCATCCTCACAGGCAAGCTATGCATTGCGGCACAGCATCACCGCAGGCAAACAGCGTATGGCGACACAGCATCACCGCAGGCGCACTGTATATGGCGGTACAGCATCACCGCATGCGAACTGTGTATGGCGGCACAGCATCCTCGCAGGAGTGCAGTGTACGGCGGCACAGCATCATCGCAGGCAGTCCATGCATTGCGGCACAGCATCATCGCAGGCATGCCGGGGGAATAGAAGAAAACTGAGGCAAACTTCTCCACTTCCTCCGAAAAGTCAATTTTAAACCAGCGTAAGTGGTTGAAAGTTACCAGCAGCTTAGGCGTTTAGCCCTTTCCAAAAATCAAAACGAATCCACACGCGGTTTCATCTCCTTATCATTATCATTGTCTCGAATCTGTTACAGCTCTACTTGTGCATCAGGTGTGTCTCACTCTTGATAATTTTCAGACCAAAAACTGCTAACGGAGCATTAAAACGACCATGCTAAAAATTAAGCCTCACAGATACTTATAGTGGGCACCCCCTTAAAGCCCAACATGGAAACAAATTTTAATAATACCTCTTGCGTTATACGTGGGTTATTACATAAAGCATACTTGCCTTCTTAGCTGTTACCCAAGCTCTTGGCCATTAACACTTAAGGCACTGAGGTACTGACAAATTACTTCAGGAAGTGGTGACTAGTCCTGTTTGCTCCAATAACCTCTGGTCTCTCGTAATGGCTGGATGTCGTGCGACAGAGCGACTCGGCCCGCTCTCGGACCCCTGGGTCACGCTGGTGTCCAGTCAGCGGTGCAGCCGGGCGGCGGCAGCGGTCACCTAAGTGGCGAGACGATGACGACCGCTGATGACGGCTGGTGATGACGGCCGGGCGCCGCTCTCAGGACGGGGAAAGTGGGTGATTGGGAGCACCCCGGGTGCTGGCGCCGGTGGTTCTCCCCCGGGGTGTGGCGGACAATTACACCGTGACCCCAGCGGCACCCGTCACCAGTGCTGGCTCGTCGCATTACTGACTTATCGGGAAATTTAACTGGTAATAGGTAAGCAGGTTCACTCAGGTCGCTGGAAGGCATCAAATCGAATGAGGTGTTGACAATTTTAGGAAACATGAAGCCTGACTTTAAGCACGTCAATGGCAGTGCCGAAACGAAATTTAAAAACCGACCATTGTCCATCGATTTTGGTGGGTATCCTCGTTCAGTCTCAACTGAGGCGCGAGGCTGCCAATGGCGCCTGAGGCCTGAGCCTCAACTTTGTCTCCAGCCCAGCTCCCACGACGCACCTGACCAATATCAAAAGTGGACGCCGAATCAGTGTTTACCTTCAGAGCCGAGGCTCAATTACATTTGTCGACAATTTAGCTCCGTAAATCTGCTCCCCTTGACACTTATAGGTCCGAGTTCAATTTAGTGGCGCATTTCGTCCTCGCTCGAGATTGATTCTTGCGGCCGGAGGTGCTTGGGGCGACCATACGAGGCGAAGAGACTCTCGAAATCGAACGGCCGAGTTGTGCGGCTTGTAGCGTGCGGTGTTTGGGTCCCTGGAACCCTCCCCCTGCTTCAAGGCCACACGGCGCACAGTGGGCCGATATGCCATTCTAGCGCGACAGGGCCTGAATCTTCGAACGGAACCCTTGGTTTTTCGCGAGTAATTCGCGTAAAAAGCGGCCGATCGCAACGAAACTTTCAGTACCCTCGCGATAACTACTTTTACAGCTAACCTGAAAATTTCATGACCCTGGCCTTAATGATCTTTGACCTGTGAGTTGTGACCTTCTTTCGAAACCATGTTTGGCCGGAATCGCGATTCAGCGTATGTCGGCTCGCATTAGCCGCGGGTTTGCAGTCTTTTCTTGGTTTAAAGCGTTCAAACATGGGATATTATGTTGCTCCCAAGCATTAGGGTGGGTGTCAAGGTCACCAGAAGGTCAGGTAAGGTCATTGACCTTTGATGACCTTGGTTCACTTTTTCGAGTTTTACATGTTTCTAGGCTAGTTTTTTAGCTGAATTCGAATCTAGCAACCATTTGAACATTTACTATGTAGCTTTGGTGCCTTCGTAGCATGTTACAAAGCTGTCAGAGGCGGTTGCCACCTACTGCAAATAGGTACCCGGCAAAACCCTTACTAGTTGACATGACCTGACCTGACCCGAGCTGGCCTAAATGTATGAAGACATCATCTATGCTCGTAAATAATATTATATTCGTGATCAGCACCCCAAAAACCCATAGCAGCCACCCTTTACGACGTTCTAACAGGTCCCGATTTTCCCGACTTTTGGGTCATTGACCTGACCTGGAAGGTCAACCGATGACCTAGGACCTTACAATTGGGTATCATCACCTTCCTCTTGTCACGGGCAACACGCTCGTCTTTTCCGCGAAGCTCTAGCTCGATCAGGGGCGAAACGGCGGGGGGTCCAACGGACCCCTTCTATACGTTTGCGGCTGGAAAAACACCACTAGGAGCGAGGGTTAAGCCAAATCTGAGGGCTTATTTCAGAAAGACCGCTAAAAGAGCAATTGCACTTTTCCGCGACGATGTAGCTCTATTGGTCCCCGAGGTAAGAGCCGGTTTTCGATAAATGTTGATAAATGCAACATTTTACCTTTGATGACCTCTGGTGACGTGACCTTTGACCTGACCTAGAAATGACTAATTACTCCAACTGGAATTTCGGACGCTCTTTCGAATGCCACTTACTACGTGTCGCTATGTGGCCCAAGAGCCGAGTTAGAAGGGGAGTGTTCAATCAACACCTCCCGGCCCGGCGCGTTTGACGCCGAGCACCGGTCCGGCGCGGGTTGATGTTTGGCTGCTACATCCAAAGTCGCAAAAAGTCGCAAAAAATGACTGTTGGATCTTGTAGTGCAATGAATCATTGACATGTAGCGAGATTTTCGAAGCGGTACTCTGCGGTACTTTTTTTAAAAGTCTATTTGTGTGTGACATCAATTATGTGAAATTATATTTTCGTCTTTAAATCTTTGCGGTGCCAATACATCATAACCAAGTAAGACTTCGCCATTTTGATGTGGTTATGTGTGTTCTGCAGACCCGGAGCTATCGTTTGATGTATTTAAATGTGGAATTCCTCCTCAAATTGTGATTGTTTTCGTGGATCAAAGATACGTTGTCGAAGAGTGCGGGGGACGAGTTCGGTCCAAACGATTCCGAAGTTCGTGTTTAAGCTGAGTTTTCGCCATGAAATAGCAATTGTGTTGGAAAACAAAGACCACAGCAGTGTAGTATGATCATTTTTGAACAAATTGGTATAGGATTCATTGCACATCCACAAAGTTCGATTTTTTTACCCATGTCGTGCTAGACCTGGCGATCGGCCCCGCCTGCGGCGGCTCCGTGAGTAGTTCCGCGTTCGGCCGCCAGAGGCGCTGCAGTGCCGGCACGCCGTCGCCGGGCTCTAAAGTCGCAGCAGAAGCGGAGTGTCCGTCGGAGGTGTGGGTTGTCGGCGGTCGGGGCGCGTCCTCAAGTGGAATTCGCGTGGGTGCCACCGTGTATTGCGAGTGATTGGGCATTGTGTGAAGAGAGGACGAATAGTGAGTGTCGCGTGAGGTGTCTCGGTCCTCCCGTGATCTACCTCGTGAGAGGAGTGAACTCTACTCGGCACATGTGCGCGTCGCCACCGGCCGCTCCAGGCCGCTGCTCTGAACAGGTAGGTCGTTGAGGCACGTTGCTGACATTGGACGCTACACCGGTCTAGGCTACAGCTCGAACCAGAGCGGCGAGGTTGGGGGTGGGTGGGGGGGGGGGGGGCTCACGATGCCGGCGGGGGCGGCAGGAGTATCGTCGTCGTCGGCTGGCGGGGGCGGTAGGGGTGCTGGTGAGGCGGGGGAGGGCTCCAGGACCACTGGCGCCAGCTCACATCGATCGGCCGGCCCTATATTGCAGTCCTCACCGCCGAGCGGCCCGCCGTGGAGCAGCGGTCGATGGCAGCAGTGGGGCGAGGGTCGGTCAGCGGACCAAATCGGAGCCACCCAGACCCCACTGGACCACCGGTGGACCAGCAGTGGACCACGGTCCCGTCACCACCGCACCACGAGCGGTCCCGAGCCGGCACAGCTGCACCGCAGGGCCTCTAAGTCCGCTCAGAAACATTCGTAAGCCCTGGAAATACTCAACAATCAGATAACGTGTCGGCAGTCGGCACTCGTAAGTTTTCGTACATGACGACAAGACAAATCCGTGTATCGCTGAGAGACATCTTAATGTCATCTGTCTAAATATAATTCATGTGTTTCGACTAAACAAGAGACAGATCCGACTAATCGGTCTATAAAGACCACAGACTACAGAGAGACGAGAACAAAGCTATCACGATTGATTTAGCTCGTCGTCCATTCGAGCCCCGATATTGATCGGGGCTCGTTAATGATCTCGTGGATGGTCAAAACAGGCGGGTCGCTCCGGTCGGCTGAATCCTGTCCGCCTTGCTTTCGGCATTCGTTCCACGCTGAAAGGGATGATGCCCAGTCACCCAGCTAACCCTCTATTTCGTGGCCGGTGGACCGACCGTCGATGTCCTTCGGATTCAGTCAAACTGATCGATCTGGCGTCCAAAAAGGCTCCATTGAGGGGCTGTGGAGCGGTCTCCATTCACTGGGGAGGGGTCGCAAAGGGCAGGGTGCGCCTGCGACACCACCCAGCTGGCACAACTTTCATAGTGAAACGGAGAATGTGATGCAGACGCAGAAGAGCAGGCAACATGATAACCATTAACCAGTATAGACATTTCGCGTCTATGTAGTATGTAATGTGTTTGTTATGACTGTCTGAATGCGTCTTGTTTGCTCATATTGTCATCGTTTTTCCCAATTATATACGGCCTCCGGTGCTCTTTTAAATTGCTCACATAGTAACCCGACAGCATTGAGGCGGTATAATTGTTTGCCAAGTGGGTCACAGACGGCTGAAAACCAGTCTGTCCTCGGAGTGGCTCAGGGCAGGGCCCGCTGTCACCTGTTCACCGACCAAATCCATCACGGAGTACAAACGTCTTCAACCGGACGGGCTCGGTCGTTTGCCCTTTCACCCTGCCGGCGCGCGGCTGTAAAACCGCTGCCTGGCATGTCCGCTGCCGCCGTCCGCCGTTTTCAGGCGCTTCGGGTCTACACTCGACTGTAGTGCCTACTGGCAGTGTGCCACTGACGCGGCTCGGTATGAATGTGCTCGTACAGACGGTCTAACAGTGGAAATGAGGTGAGAGGGACAGTTCACAACAGACAGCAGACAACAGTGGAACAGAAACAAACAGTGGACAGTGCGTGGAGCGAACAGTGGACAGTGCGTGAGAGCGAACAGTGGACAGTGCGTGGAGCGAAGAGTGGACAGTGCGTGGAGCGAACAGTGGACAGTGCGTGAGAGCTGTCAGCGGACAACGGGACAGCAGAGAGCGAACAGCGGGACAGCAGAGAGTGAACAGCGGAATGCATACCACAGCTCTGCTGCCGCTCACTCGTCACAAATCTCGCTGTGTTTACTCACAGAACTGTGAGCGAGCATACCTTTGGGCAGCGCGGGGCAGAGTAACAGGCAGTCCCTCTTCGGTGACATGGAGTAAATATGATCCCATAGGGTCATTGGATGCTCGGCGCTCGCGGCTGTGACGGGTTAGATGGGGGAGGTAGGGAGCGGATTACGGTGTTTCTGAGGTGACGATAAGTGACCAGCAGGTGGTCGTGACCCCACGGCGGCTTCTGTTTGAAGCCGGACGATGACCGGAGCTCGCCCTGCACTAAGCTCAGCTTTAGACCAGGTCCCAGTAGGAGAGCAGACAGATCCAGCTGTTATACGGCCCACAACTCTCTACTGCTCCCGTAATTGACTGCAGATATAACCTAGCTCGGCTCCTGGCTCGCTTTGTGTTCGGCTGACTCGCTGCAACTCATCACGGTGATTTAACTCAGCAATCGTGTTGTGAGTCAAAGGTCATCGGCCGACTCTTGTGTTCCAGTAGCCTCTACCACGACCCACAACACACGAGTTACAACCGTGACCGTGACTGGCTCCGTGCGCTCCGCTCGAGCTGTGACCTGTCAGCTGCTCAGCCAGGCTGTCCCGCCTACCCACCGGACTGGCAGGCCGGGCGCACACCGCTACCCCGTGGCTAGTGTGATCACTGATCAGTATTCCGGCTGCTGCAGCGGCCAGCCGGTGCCTGTCCCCACCCCGACCTCCGCGACCGGCGCCGGCCTGTTCTCGCGCAATTACTGCCCTGATTGGGCCGATAGCGGCGCCACCCAGACGCCACTCGTCGCCGCAGCTCCGTCGCTGCTCGCCGCGCTCGGCCGTATTATTGGATTATGCAGGCAGCGGTGCCGGGCGAGACGCGTATTGCGGAGATATTGGTCGGGTCGGTCACGGTGACCACGTCTGGGGTAACACGTGCTCGACGTGGTGCTTATTGCGAACCACCCTGAAATCGAGGAGTTGGAGAGCCTGCCTTCGAGCTATTATTTATTTCTACATTTTACACTTGAATGTGTTTCATCATAAACTCATATATGCTAGGCAAAAATATACACATTTTACTTGGGTATGAGGTGTACGAGTATAGGGTAAATGCTGTGGAGAATAAACCCTTTTCCGACCGGTTGCGGTCAGTGTGTCGACACGGTCATTTCCTGTAATTTCCTTCCCGTCGTCTCCTTCTCCACGGGTCGCGCAGCCGGTCGGAGATGGACCGACCGAGACGATTCCCTCAGATCCTGTCATTAGTCGTCGAGACCGTCGGTCACAGCGGGGTCGCCGCCCGCCCCAGAGCGCTGGGAACAGGCCCGGTCCGGTGGGGGCGCGCCCTCCGCGACCAGACTCGGATGTGACCTGAGCGGTCATTATGGCCACTCCCTGGCGATGGGGACACGGTGTGACGACTTAATTACGGCCGCACTAATTGTCAGCGCAATCAGTCGGACTTGGGTGGGGAGCGTTTCCATGAGGGGAGCAGGGAGAATCGTACCCTGTGGTTGTCTGTGTCTTCGCAGGAAATGAGGAAATTTAGTGTTTTTTGCTGTTTTTTTTTTGCGCGTGTCAGAGAAGAGGAAGAGGTCATGTTGAACTATTGTTGCTCTTAATTAGTTGGGACCACCCGTTACCACTTTTTCAACCTCCCCTATTAGTCATTTCTTTGTTGCTACTGTCTCCCTTCATTTCAATATCACGCTCACGCATTGTCTGTTTATTTTCACATTTCCTTTCGCTTCCATTTCCACCTCCCTAGACCCCAATTTCATTTCTCGCCTCACATATTGCATCTCGCAATCGGCAGTTCGTTGGAATGGGAAGCCAGAACGTCCGCCTTCCCCCCGCTCCCCACCGTTTTACAGCTGCTGTCTGCTCCAAACGCTCGTCGGAACTTCAAAGACAATGCGGCTCTCGGCCGGTGAGACGGAGACGCTGACAAATGCCGACCGGTTAGTTTTATGTGCCCTGATGACGGAGTTGGTGGCTGACACGCTAGCGCTGCGGTCAGGAGTGGCGTTAGGAGGGCGGCTGGGGCTCTCACCGGTCGGGACACCGGTGTTTTGTCTGCGACAGGAGGCATGTCGGGGTCTGGGTCTGCCCTCTGCCGTGACCTCTGACCTCGGTGACCTGGCGCTCGCTGGCGCGGCAGGCGATACCAGTTGGTACCAGTGTGTAATTCTAGTGGCACGAGGCGGATAGCGTGCTCTCCAGCAGACGACAGACGCTCTCCAGTGCTTCTGAGATGAGCTGTTCGGCGGTCTGGTCGCTGTGTTCTGCGGTTTGACCACTGCACAGTGGCCCTTTTTCAGAATTAGCACGCATAAATCCAAAATATTTTTTCTCCTCTTTTGAGTAAAAAGCAGTCTAATCGTGTGCAAAACATTCCAAACTATCCGATGGTGCCATTTTTACCTCCTAAAAGATAATTATCTTTGGTAAAACTGACCGCAAACATGAAGTTTGTCGAGAGGCGCGCAGACACCACCGGCGGACCCTAAAAAGTAGGATAAGATGAACATCAATTTGTAAGGCTTTCGGTGAGAAAATATTAAAAATTAGTGGCATGGCTGTGAAGCTGAGTTTACGTAGAAGCCCTAGAAACCACAATTTTCATTGTACAAACTTAAATAGACCACTTTTGCCAAATATTGTGGACACAATAACAAGACAATTATTAACTGGAGATGGCGGCATACATATGAAGCTTTATGTTAAGTAGCACACTCTGGGACATGTCGTATTATACATCGTTCGAATCGTCGATCTCTTCTGACCATGTCCACCAAAGGGCATCGCGCCATTTTGCGCCATTTTGCTTCTACGGTGGATAACGTGAGCCAGTTCAGTCCGCGAGCGGCTGTGGCTCCTGTCCGATACGACTAAGCTCATTGACCTGGCTCGAAGCTGGTGTCACCTGGTGTGCGCCTAAATGTGGCTTGACTTTTGCCATAAGATGTGCTTATTGAAATGTCATGTAGGCATAACGCTGTGCTCAAGAAAAACTGTCCGATTTCTTGTCGCGTTTGATGTCCAAGCCGCACAAGTCCCGTGGTCGGCTTAAGATCTAACGTCAAAAGCGCCTATGTGTTTGTATTGTTCGCGTCGCGCTGACCTTAGTTGCTGCCCGGCCGGGGCCGACTAACGGTGGCTGGCAACAGCTGTAGATGCGGTCACGTGACGCCCTGGGGCGTC